GTGTGTGTGTGTGTGTGTGTAAGAGAGAGAGAGAGAGAGAGAGAGAGAGAGAGAGAGAGAGAGAGAGATGGGGGCAGGGTCTCACTGTGTAGCTTGACTGGCCTAGAACTCACTAAGTAGACCAGGCTGGCTTCAAACTCACAGAGACACACCTGCCTCTGCCTCTTGAGTGCTGGGATTAAAGGTATTTGCTACCACATTTGATTTCCAACCTCAAATTTTGTATGCTCGTCTGTTTGTGACAAGTTCTCATGTTGTATAGGCAGGTCTTGACCTTCTGGGCTTAAATGACCTCAACCAACCTCAGCCTCTAGAATAGCTGGGACTATACGCATGTACTACCAAGACTAGCTCTGGAGACCTAGAACCAAAAAGTCTGAAAACTCTCTGTATAAGTTAGCCTTGTACCTTTGTGGGCTGCCCAGCTAGCTTGCCACAGGGAGACTGTTATAAATCAGTTCCATAGTCTATTGATCAGGATCCCCTACTGCCACTCCAACTGGGTGCTCGTTATGATAACTCTATCAACATCTGGCTTCTATTATTTCACAGAACTGCCATCCCTATTGCTATCAGGGAAAGCCAGTTCTGGAAATGTCTCTTGCTGGCCTCCGGACAGCTCAAACTGAGGGGCTCAGTGATACTGGTGCCCTTCCCTTCCTCCCCACCAGCCTTGTTGCTTTGATACCAGAGTTTTGTCTGGGCCTTCTTGTAGAACTTAAATCTGTTCTTAGTCATACATGGTATATACTCTATAGCATGTCTACTCTGAGCTTATTGACCCCTTCTTCGGTGGTCTGGCATTCCATTTTCCTTTTGGGGGGCCATTGCCTTCCCCAGTCTCCCAGGATCTTTGTCAGAGTGTTGACTCCTGCTTTACAGACCACTGCTCTCAATAACAACAAAGACTTCTTCATTCAATGTCATGTTCAACCTTCCCCAGACTCTACTAATCTATACATCTGCCCCTGAATCCCGTCAGTACATGTTGGCTCCTTCCACAGCTCCTTCAGGATACAAGATGTATATTGCTTTCTTCCTTCCCAGAAGGACCCTGCATGTCTCCATTTGGCCTTCAGTGCCATTTGACTCTACTTATTGGTCTTGTAGATGGGGAAAAAGAGGCAACTTCCTTAGGTGCCTGAGGACAAGTCCCAGAGATAGTAATAAGAGCCATCCATAACCAGTACCCCTGGAGTGCTTCCATCCTGTGGAACACCTGGGTGGTACCCGACAGTATCCACTACAGAGACAAGGTTTAGTTGTGCTGTGAAGCAGAGTAGAACAGGAACTAAGTGCCTAAGCCCAGGAGTCAGAAAGACTTGGGTTGGAATTCTATTTATATGACCTTGGATAAGTTCCTTAACCCTTTTGAAGCAGTTTCTTCTACAAAATGAAAATAGTAGCTTCCTGATAAATTGATGTGTGAGACAGTAAGACAAAGAATGTGAGTCTCAACATAGGGCCAAGACCCTCGCGTTCTTGCTGCTGCTGAAATTGTTTAGAACTTTTCCAGAGACTGAAAGGGCTTTCACGGGGAGCAGACAATGAGGCATGCCAGCAGAGACGGCCTTTTAGCTGACACTGCAAAATGCACCCCAGGGAGTTGTGGAGGAGGTTCTAGGGTCAGTGGAGGTATTCACCAAAGATGGCCTTTTGGGTCCATTCTGTCACCAAACTGCTTTGATTCTTGGGTTCCTGCCTAACCTTGGTGGGGGAGAGGCACTTAGAAAAGCATATTCACTTTCAGGCCACTAGGGGGCCATTTAGATGCCTGAAACAGGAATACACTAATGGTTTCTTAATGGCTCAGGCACCGGGGAGATCTGGCTCAATTATATCTGAAAGCATTTTGAGTTCCAGGGGTAAAAGACACTATGTAAATCCAGATAATAAATAGTGCTTATTGATAACAGGTTAAAGAATCTGGCACTGTTTCATTTCGGGAAGAATAGGGAGAGGAATTGAATAAAGGCTTCAAGTACATCATTCTTTAGTATATAAGAGTGACACACTTTTCCTACTCTACTGGGAACCAAGCAAGAAAAAAGAAGTTAATTTACAACAGAAATATGGAGAACATTCCAGAAAGGGGATCAAAGGCAACTCTGTATTGTTTGTGGAATCTTTAAGCATAATTCACCTTGGGATAGTTGTATGATCAGTTCTGCCCCAGTTGTACGATCAGGAAGGCCAGAGCACAGGGGAGAAAAGAGAAGATGACTTTCAGTGGCAATGTGGTGGTGTTAACTCCACCGGCTGCCTTCAAGACCAGCTCTGGCTGCCCTGCTTCTGGGTAAGGAAAAATAGGTTGTTGTGGTTCCTGCTGCTCCCCACCTCTCAATCCACAAAGGCCAATAAACACTCCAAACTCCCATTGTCCTTGAAATTTCTCAGAAAATAAAAAGGCAAGCTTTTCCTTGAAATAGCATCAGGCTGGCCACTGCTAGTGGCCCAGCTCCATCTGAGCCTCCATCAGAGCTGACTGAGGGACTGGATCAGAAGCCTGTTGTTCCAGCAGCCTACCAGTACACTGAGTTCTAGTAGCTACTTCTGTGTCTAGGGATGGGAGAGGAGTGTTGGCAAAAGGCTTGAGCAAGAAGAGTCAAACTCAAAGGCTGGAGAAGGAGAAGAGGTGGAAAGGACGGAGGAAGTTCTGCCCGTCTCGGTTAAGGAGCCAGGCCAGGCTCTTATTTGCAGAGGTCACAGAGAAGGTACCCTCAGCCCAACCTCATCAGGAGCACACCCGACTCCCCCATACACTCACACAGGCAGTTTCTCTTGCCCATTCATTTAGACATCCAAGCTGTGCTCACAGACAGTTCTGGGAACACAGGAAGAGGGCATCAGAAATCATGGAAAGCCTTACAGAAAGGGAATTGAGAGAAGCAAAAGAGAGGAGGGTGCAGGCTGTGTGTGTGAGGGGGGGGACTGGCTACTGAGAGGCGCAGCATGAAGATGGGTTGTCAGCACCCATGAGGCCCAAAGAGCAATCAAATTGTGGAGCCAGATAAGACAAGCCTCACATGGAAAAAGGCAATTCTCTAGATTCTGGGGCCAAACAGGATCAAGGAGGGACCGGTTCAGCGCAGTACACAAGTCAAGGCCAACCCCAGGAGTCAGAAGATCAGAAAACAGGACCTGTTGTGATCTTTGAGATTAAAGTCGCAGGCGAATCTAGAGAAAAAAACGCAACCGATGGCTCTGTCCCACAGGTTCGGGGCAACCTGACTCAGTGGCCATGAGGATGGGACTTGAGAAGAGTCCTGGAGCTCAGCCTGGTTGGGGAACAGGCGCGCGGCCAGCTATGAGTGCGCGCTCCAGGTTGCTGGGCTGCCTAACCCAGCTGTGACCCAGGCTCTCCGGTGTAAAAGGGTCTGGCGGACCCCCGGAGAGCTACCCGGACCCGGACATGAGCCACGAGCAGCAGCGTGGTTCGGTGTCAGCCTTCTTATAGAAGGCCTGCCGGCTCGGCCCGCGATTCAGTCCCACCTGTGACCTCCCAACCTAGGGCGAAGTAGGGAGGGCCAGAGTTGACAGCTCTCCAGCTCAGCCCGCCCCTCCCGCCCCGCCCCTCAGTTCCGCCCACCCTCCGGCAGAGCGTCGTTCCCCTTTTAAAGAAGCGCCCGGGACTGCGGTCCTCCCGCGCCAGACGGCGCCGGGCCCCAACATCGCCCCTTTAAGAAGCAGCCGCCCTTAACTCTCTTAACTGGGCGTCCCCGAGGGGCTAGCGGCGCCGGGCCGCATCCCGCCTCCCCGATCGGCGCTTCCGGACCTCGGCGTTGCCCTTTTAAGAGGAGCCCCCAGCGGCGCTCTGGCCCCGCCCCCTGTGCCGGCGCGCGAGGCGGGGGAGCAGGGCTGGAGCGGAGCGCGGTGTCCGCTCGGCCACTGGAGACCGGGCGGCCGGC